CGCGCAACTCCGGCCCTTCCGTCTGCATCTCTTTCGCCATCGGTTTGAACGCAAATCTCTTCGCAAACAACTAATCCCTTCTCTCCTCCTTTAGCCGCCATCGCCTCCGTCTTCGCGGGTAAGCCCTCTCTCACCTCCCGTTCCTCTCACTCCCTCTCTCTCTCTCTCGCCCTTTAGGCCTGTGTTACGCGGAGTTCGGAAGCCGTGTTCCGCGCGCGGGATCCGCGTATATCTATTCCTACGTAACTGTCGGCGAATTCATGGCTTTCGTCATCGGATGGAATCTCGTTCTCGAATACGTCATCGGTTTTCACTTCCCTTTCCGTTTCCTCCGTCTCTAACGCCTCTTCTCTCCACAGGAACGGCGTCTGTGGCGCGCGGGTACTCGGGATACATCGACTCCCTCTTCGACGGCACAATCGCCGCCCACTTTGAGNTTCATGGCTTTCGTCATCGGATGGAATCTCGTTCTCGAATACGTCATCGGTTTTCACTTCCCTTTCCGTTTCCTCCGTCTCTAACGCCTCTTCTCTCCACAGGAACGGCGTCTGTGGCGCGCGGGTACTCGGGATACATCGACTCCCTCTTCGACGGCACAATCGCCGCCCACTTTGAGACGTGGCTTCCGATCCGCGTTTCCGGTCTCTCCTCTTATCCCGATCCCATCGCTTTCGCGCTCACCATCGCTCTCACGCGTAACTATGGCAACACCGCACACACCGCCCACTCACCCCTTCCCTCCCCCGCAGTGCTGCTCGCGCTCGGCGTCAAAGAGTCGATTCGTTTCGCGACAATCATGACTGTCGTCAATCTCGTGGTCGTCGTCTTCGTCGTCGTCGTCGGACTCTTCAAAATCCGTTTCCATAACTGGAATCTCTCCGTCGAGGAGATCCCCCAAGACTTCCGCAAAGACGCCGGAAACGGAGGTTTCCTTCCGTTCGGTTTCTCCGGAATGATGTCGGGCGCCGCCACCTGTTTCTACGGTCTGTTTACACCCCCCCCCTGTCTGTCACTCCTCTCACACTCTGTCACAGCTTTCGTCGGCTTCGACGCCATCGCGACGACCGGAGAGGAGGCGAAGAACCCGAAGAAAGCGATTCCTTTGGCGATCGTCATCTCTCTGT